TTGGCTGCATATTTTTCTCATTTAGTGGTCTGAATATATCATGTCAGTCCTTTCTGGCCTGCCAGGTCTTTGTGGATAGGTCTGTTGTCAATCTAATGTTTCTACCATTGTAGGTTACAGATCTCTTATCCCAAGCTGCTTTCAGGATTTTCTCTTTGTCTCTGAGACTCGTAAGTTTTACTATTAGATGTTGGGGTGTTGACTTATTTTTATTGATTTTGAGGGTGGTGGTTCTCTCTGTCTCCTGGATTTCGATGCCTGTTTCCTTCCTAAATTAAGGAAGTTCTCTGCCATAATTTGCTCCAATATACCTTCTGCCCCTCTCTCTCTTTCTTCTTCTTCTGGGATTCCAATTATCCTAATATTGTTTTGTCTTATGGTATCACTTATCTCTCGATTTCTGCCCTCATGATCCAGTAGATGTTGATCTCTCTTTTTCTCAGCCTCTTTATTTTCCATTATTTGGTCGTATATATCACTAAATCTCCCTTCTGCCTCATTTATCCTAGCCGTTAGAGCCCCCATTTTTTATTGCACCTCATTAATATCCTTTTTGATTTTGACTTGGTTAGATTTTAGTTCTTTTATTTCTCCAGAAAGGGTTTCTCTAATATCTTCCATGCTTTTTTCAAGCCCAGCTTGTGTATTTATAATCATCATTCTGAACTCTAGTTCTGACATCTTACTAATGTCCATATTGATTAGGTCCCTGGAGTCAGTACTGCCTCTTGTTCTTTTTTTTTGTGGTGATTTTTTCCATCTTGTCATTTTGTCCAGAGGAGAATAGATGAATGAGAGAACTAAATGCTAACAGGGTAACAATTATCCTAGAAAAATATACACTAAAGAATAAGAAGGGACCTGAAACTGGGGGGAAAAAAGGGCAAGATTGTAAAAAGAAAAAAAAAAAGAAAAAGATTAAAAAAAAGAACATGATATTAGATTCCTCTATATCTTCTAATGGCTTACTGGCTCACTTCTTAAATCACTGAATAAAATATTCCTTTATATGTATTTATTCCATTGTGTTTATCATTTCACTTATTAAAAGACATCTTGTTTCCTTCTAATTTTTGGTAATTACAAATGAAGCTGCTATAAATGTACATGATTTTGTGTGGATATGTTTTCAACTCATTTGGGTGACTGACAAGAGGATAAATGCTGGATCATATGGTAAGAGTAAGAAATTGCCAAACTGTCTTCTGTAGTGGCTGTACCATTTAGCATTCCCATCTTCATGAATGAGAGTTTCTGTTGCTCTACATCTTCACAGCATTTTGTGTTACCATTGTTTTGCACTTCCAGTACAAAGCTGAAAAAGACCGGCAAGTTACAGTCTTGCCTTGTTCCTGATCTCACTGAGAAAGCAGTTAGTTTCTCACCACTGAGGTGTTAGCTATAGGTTTTTTTTCTAGATGTTCTTTCTTATGTTAAGGAAATTCCCTTCTAGACCTCCTTTCCTAAATTTCATCACAAATGGTGTTGGATTTGTCAAATTCTTTTTCTGCATCTATTGATATGATCAATTTTTCTAGTTTAGCCTATTGATGGAATTGGTTACATTAAATGATTTTAAAATGGTGAACTAGCCATACATATCTAAATAAATTATGGGTATAGATATCAACTGATCAATTTTTCTAGTTTAGCCTATTGATGGAATTGGTTACATTAAATGATTTTTAAATGGTGAACTAGCCATACATATCTAAATAAATTATGGGTATAGTTATCAACAAGGGGATTTTAACTATTATAAAAAAATTCTAGAGCTGAAAAGAACAATAAATGAACTGAAAAATTCATTTAAAATCAGATTTGATCAGGCAAAAGAAAGAATAAGACATGAAGACTGATCATTTGAAATCATCCAGTGAGAAAAACAAAAAGAAAAAAAGAATGAAGAATATAAAAAAAACCTACTGACATCAACAAGCAGACCAATATATGTATTATTCCTATAATGAGTCTGAGAAAGAGAAGAGAGAAAGAAAGGGACAGAAAGTTTATTTGGAGAAATAATGAGTACAAACTTCAGAAATCTGAGTTAACATACAAAAGAAGCTCAACAAATTCCAACCAGGAAATCCAAAGTGACTCACCAAGGTTCCCAATAGCCAAAGACAAGGAGAGAATCTTGAAAGCATCTAGACAGAATTGACTTGTCACATAAAGGGAGCTCCCATAAGATTATCAATAGATTTCTCAGGAGAAACCTTATAGGTCAGAAGGGATTGGGATGAATACTTTTCAAATGCTGAAAGAAACTGTCAACCAAAATTATCATTATCAGGCAAAACTGTATTTCAAAATATAATGAAGATATGAACATTTTTTCAGAAAAATAAAATTTGAGGTAATGAACAAAAGTCAATTACCACTAGACCTGATCTATAAGAAATGTTAAATGGAGGTCTGTCATGTCAAAAAGAAAGGATGCTAGACAGCAACCTAAAGCTAAAAGGAAATTATAAAGTTCTCTAATACAGGTAAATACATGGACAAATATTGTAACATGCAGTATTGTAATTTTGGTGAATAAATTGACTTTTAAATATTGTATAGAATTGGAAGGACAAATACCAAACCAAACCAAACCAAACAAATCCTATAATCTATGTAGTAACATAAAGTGTGAAGTAGAATTATAAAGGAGTAGTGCTTTTGTATGCGATTGAAGTTAAGCTGTTAATAGAAATAGAAAAAAAATAATCCCCAAATTAATATGGAGTCTCAAGGGACTCTAAATAACCATGTCAATTTCGAAAAAAAAGAAGAATAGAGTTGAAGGATGCACAGTTCCTGATTTCAAAACATATTATTATAAAGCAAAGTAATCAGAACATTATGGTACTGGCATAAAGATAGACATGTATATCACTGAAATAGATTAGAGAGCCTAGAAATAAACCCTTGCATATATGGTTAAATGATCTATAAAATTGTGCCAAGATGACATAATGCAGAAAGGACAGTTTCTTCAACAAGTATACTCAATGGAGAAAAGATAGCTTTTTCAATAAATGGTGATGGGAACATTGGATATGCACATACAGAAGAATGAATTTAGACCTCTATATTTCACCATATACAAAAATTAACTCAAAATGGCTTAAAAATCCAAATGTAAGACCTCAAACTATAAAACTCCTAAAAGAAAACATAGGGGGAAATCTTCATCACATTAGGTTTGACAATGATTTCTTAGATATGATGCCAAAAGTACAGGCAACAAAAGCAAAAATGGACAAATGGGACTACACCAAACATAAAACTTTTGTGTTTCAAAGGACATGATCAACAGAGTATAAAGGCAACCTACAAAATGAGGGGGAAAGTTTGCAAATCATATATCTGGTAACAGATTAACATCCAAAATATAAAGAACTCCTAAAATCCAAGAAAATAAAAATCAAATTCATATAAACCAATTCAAAAATGGGCTAAAGACTTGAATAGACATTTCTCCAGAGAGGATATACAAAAGACTAAAAAGCATATGGAAAAATTCTCAATATTACTAATAATCATAGAAATGCAAATCAAAACCACATTGAGATATCACCACATACCCAATAGAATGGCTACCATTAAAAAAAAAAGGGCAACCACAGAAAATTACAAGTGTTGGTGAGGATGTGATGACTGTAATGTGAACTGCTGGTGGGATTATAAAATTGCACAACCACTCTCAAAATCAGTATGATGGTTCAAAATATTAAGGATAGGATTACCATATGATCCATCAAACCCACTTTTGCATTTTTATCCAAAATAACTGAAATGAGTATCATAAAGATATATCTGCACTCCCACATTCACTGTGCATTATTTATGATAGCAAGATGTTGAAAACAGCTTAAGTGTTCATTGACAGAAGAATGGAAAAATAAAATGTCACCTATATATACACACATAGAATGGAATGTTATTCAGCCATAAAAAGAATGAAATCCTGCTATTTGCAATGACATGGATGAACCTAGATGGTGCTATATTAAGAGAAATAAGCCAGACATTTGAAGACAAATATTGTATGATCACCATTATATGTGGAATAAAAATGTCAACTCACAGAAGCAGACAGTAGAATGGTGGATGCCAGGGGCTGGAGGGTTTGGAAAATGGGGCCATGTTGGTGAAAAGGTACAAAGCTACAGATATGCAAGATGAAGAGTTCTGGAGATCTGTTACACAGCAATGGAACACACGTAACATTACTATAAGATCATAAATTTCATGTTCTGTGTATTTTACCACAAAAAAACTTTTAAAAATTGTAATGTTTGAGTTTCAAAATCCAAATAAAAAATATTTTATAAAAATGTGTCAAAACAGCATTGTAAATATACTATATGTACTTTGGCTCCTTGAAGTGGATATTAACTTTCAAAATATGATATAATTACTGAATAGTTGGGGGTAAAAGGCATACCAGAGCAATTCCTGTAGCGAATTTTGGATTGCATGCCATTCCATGATATGTTGCTCCCACGTAATTAGGATGATCCCTATAACTAAATAACAAAATTTTTCTTGTAAATAAATGCATTTAAAATTATTAATAACTTAATGACCTTTTAAGAATTGGATTCCTCAGTATAAAAAAAGCTGTTTTTTGAAACTTGAATATCACATATCACATCTAATGTTTTCAATCATTTTGTATTTGGGTAATCTCCCACAGTTCCTACAAAGTTAGGTTCTAAAGTCTACTTTAACATTATATAATACACAGCCCAAAACCCAGCAGTGCCTAATCCTTCTAAAACATTAATCATCACAGTTGCCACCACCAGATGGATATAATTCTAAGGTGTACAAGTCACGATAACCTACTGCCATGATTTGCACACAGTGGTCCTTTAAGGTGTGTAAAAAATATCGGATTGGAGGACAGGGAGAGAAAAGAGAACGTGCAGTATGCTAACAAAAAGAGATAGGACACAGAAAGTGTCCTCACACATTTCAGTCCTATTAATATTGCTCCTAAGTCCCTAAATCTGACCTTAAATGCCACAGGAAACACCAATAGATGTATAAATATATTCCATATTGCTTAAGACCTTCAGAATTGCGTTTTTATTTTTCCATGTAATCAAATTAGTCAAGCAAAAAGAAGACTTTTGAAAGATACAATGCATGCAGTTATATAGCTACACCTTGGGTCAGTATATATCAGAAGGCAACCATATTACTATTTAAATGTTTTGCATTGTAACCACTTTATATGCAATTACTGAATTCTGTTAACTAATTTATATTTTATTTAATGTTAAAATGATGGTTTCAATTACTTACCTCTGAGAAAATCTTTAAAACCCTTGAGGCCCCATGTTTCTCCCAAGGCTTTCCAAATTTTCAAGTTTATTACATTTCCATGGATGAACAGTCTACTCTGAGAATAATGGCCTACCATGTTTTAGTGTCTTACATTGTTATTAGATTTTTATATTTTGCATTTTGCTAACAGTATACGTACAATTTTTGAGGTTTCTTGTCATTATACATAACACATTTTATATATAATTTTGGTAGTTAACATATCATATAATTTGATAAGCCCTATATCAATGCAAAAAATGCACTCACATTAATAAATATGCCATATCATGAGATCTTTGAAACAAAAATTGTTCTTTCCATGACACAAGTCTTTGTAGTACTTCATCAGCATCCCCCTTAGTTGAAATCTTATTTTGATCTGACCAGAGCTCCAAAGAAGTTAGCTTCACAGTCACTTTAAGCTGGGAAAACATCTAAAAATAGAAGATACACCACATACAGGTTTAGGTAGTCATAAGTATTATATTACATCTCTATACCTAATGCTAATAGATTCAATTTACTCATTTTTGGAGATGGAATCCATTGGTGGGTGAAACTAGTTGGTAGAAATATACTTTTTAATGAAATTGAAAATGTTATTTATACAAACGATGTTATTGCATTAACAAGAATGTTTAATATTTAAATGAAACATAAATACTTACAGTGTTGATAAGACCAAAGATATGGACAACTTTCTCAGCTGCAAATGCCACTTCAGAGCCCATGTAATCAAACTGAAAGACAAATTTTGTTTCACTACTGAAAATTACTAAAGTACCACATTTTATTTTTTTAATTAATTATTTTTAATTTTATATTGTTAATGTTAATCACCATACATTACATCATTAGTTTTTGATGTAGTATTCCCTGATTCATTGTTTGTGTATAACACCCAGTGCTCCATGCAGAACATTCCCTCTTTAATACCCATCACCAGGCTTACCCATCCCCTTCCCCCCTCCCCTCTAGAACAGTGTTCCATGATTCATTGTTTGCGTATAACACCCAGTGCTCCATTTTAAAGTACCCTCTTTAAAGTACCACATTTTAAATGGATATAAAATGTTAAAATAAGGTGGTGCTCAGTGAAAGGAAAAAAAAAAACAGAATTAAGGTTTATCAATGGCTTAGTAAGTTTTAAGCTTAAGCCTAGGGAGCTTGCATATTAATCAATAATATTAAAATGAGAAGGTTGTGATTATTTTCCTCTTTACACATATAAAATGGAGGTTTGAAAGGTAAGTTTCCAAGATCATATAACTACTAAAGATAAGAAGCAGGACTCAAATCTCTAAGCTACTAAGTCATTTTTACCTGCTATATCATATGCCACCATTTACCTTCATTACAATAAGATAACATACTACATATCCTGGATAAACAATGCACCATAATAATAAAAATAAATTCAAGCATTTGTCTTCATTCAAGGAGACAAAAATCACATATTGTCTCTTAAATACTTTAGTTGTATGTGTACACACATTTCTAAGTTTTTGGTGAAAACATGAAAAGTGGCAGCTTGAGAGCTTCAAAAATCTGCAGGAGATCTGCCAAAAACTACTAACAGAAAAAAAATGTAATGGATAGAGTTGTCTGATACAGACAAAAGAGATGTTATCCTCCTAGGTCTCTAGAAACTATTTGTACTTTGCTATTTCTCTTTTCCAATAAATCATATTGTATATTTACGCACAGTGCAGCATGTGTGGTATGAGTGAAGGTGAATAAAGGCTTATATAAAACAATGAAAGAATGTGTGTATATATATACACATATATATATTTTTTTCAAACATACATGGAAGTTTTATATAAATTGACCCATTTTAGGCCATTAAAGAGTTCTTTGAATATAAAACATTGTCACTTAGATCACATTGTCCAACTATAACGCAATTAAGTTATGGTAGACTTGATAAAAAGTATTTTAACAATGTTATTTTTCCTTACATGGATAACCCTGTTGTGGTTATATAAGATAATGATCTTATTCTAGGTAAATGTACACTGAAAAAAAAAGCTCCATGATGCAATTTACAACTTACTTTCAAATAGAGCATAAGTGATAATGGGATACAATATTAATAAATCCTAATAAAGAGAGTATAACTATTTCTTGCCTTTTTTTATTATGTTAATCACAATGCATTACATCATAAGTTTT